TTCTGGTTCATGAAAAGGGAATTTTATGGTATTTAATCGCAAGTTTGCCAAAGTCATATATTAAAAGAAATTAAAGTTATTAGGAAATATTTTTCAAAATAAAATATTTTTCAATGTAAATCTGACTAAAATCTGATTAAAAAGTACCCAAGTAAATATCTTAGGCTAAGTATTTTTACAATACCAAGATTTCTTTTCTTCTTAAATTTCTTTCCCAGTTTATTTTTTTGAGTGCGTAACACCTTTGGTGCTCAAATGTAATTTATTTAGTCTACTTCACGCTCATAATGCCACACAGGAGGGGGAGGGGGAAGGACCTGGGTGACGCGAAGCATTCATGTCAGTCGCCAGGCTAAACCCCCTTTTTTCCACGCCCCTGTCTACTTCCACTTGCAAGTGGCAAGTCGCTTGGAAAAATTATGTTGCACGTGATATGCTTCAGCAAATTCGCTACATGTAACGCGTAATGGGGGTTGGTGGGGGGAGGAAAATGCTGGGGAATGCTACGCTTTTCCCGACCAGCACTAAAGATGAGTTCCACTTGGAAATATAAATTGAAATCATCAACTGGCTTTGTGCGTTTTATCAACATTTTTACGTGCCGCGCTTCAAGTTTGCCTTAACGCTGCACTGAATCTGCCACGCCCACTTTTCCCCCCGCTTTCCCACTGAATCAGATTTCCTTTACTCCTGCTTTTGGCTGCGAGTGCCAACTGCAAATTAAGCAATTTTCCAAAGGACTTTTGGCTGCTTTTTGGTTTCGCCAGCTTAATGTCTGACTGAGTGCGCGGTTTATTAAGATAAACGATGATGAACGGTGGAGCTGAGTTGCTTCTCTGCCCCTTCCACCGATGTCTGGGTTATGGTTATCCACCTGCAGCTCAGTTCGGCTTGTTAATTGACTGCTCAGCTCTCCAGTTCTCCAGAGCTTTTCCTTTCCAACCCCCTCGCACACGCCCCCTGAATAAAAGACAAAAAAGGGGCGGACGGTTGGGCGGGAAAATTGAAGCTGGAGCTGTTCATTCTATTAGGGCATTTGCATGCTTATCTCATTAACACGAAACACAAGAGTTCCGGGCAGAGGTTGGGGTTTATATTCATAGGGGATATCATAACTGGCGGTTTGAATTTTTAGCTGCAGGTTTAGGGTAAATATGTACATTAATATAAATGAAATAATAAATATAAATAAAAAAAATATTAAAACTTATAAATTATTAGTTATAGTAAAAGTAATTCGATTTAAATTTCAGTTAATCAATAGATTCAATATGGCCTTGTTAAAATGTTAAAAAATTGTATTGTTCTACTTATGATTAAGTAAATTCAGTAATTTTCTAGTCAATATTAAAAAGTATTAATTCTAAGACCCTAGAAACTGCCCAGTATTACCGAAACCTTTTTGATCCTTTTATTCCCCCTTTTTTTCCTATATAATTAGCATGTAAATGTTTCGAATGTGTGAGTGGCTTGGGTTGCCCAGTGTCCTTCAGGTCCTTCGCCTGACTTCTGACTCCTGGCTACTTGACAGTCGGGGTAACTTTTGCGCTTTTGTCGTGGTTTTCATTATCCCTTGCCGTTTGGCTTTTTGCCGCTGCTCATAAGCCGCAGCAACCCTTCCGTTTTGGGGCGCCCACCTCAAAGCGGAATGCAACGGACACATTGGCCAATATTGACTGTACACAGTGGTCCTGCATCCAGCCACTCGCTTTATACAATTTTCAGCCGCCTCTTAGTTGGGCCCCTCATTTCCGGCTCTTTCGGCCTATGCAAACAAAGCGTCCTTACTCTCCACTCTCGACTCGCTCTTTTTACCACTCATTAGTGACAATTTTCTTGTAGTTGACATTTGCCACGCCCCTTCGCCCGGCCGCCTCCAACATTTTGCGGTTGCTGGACAAAGTTTTTGTGTTTACACCACCATCCCATCCTGCCCCTTTAAGTCAGACATTTAAAGTCAGACAGGCGAAAAACAAGAAAATAAAACCTGTATTTTTTGTGGCACGAAAATGACGGCAGGTGAGTTGAGGTAGGGAAAAAAAAGTATAGATTAATCGGGACCGGAAGGACGTTAAGTTTTTGATGGGAAACCAATTAATTGGAAAAATTAAAATCAAATATTTGGCAAAGAGCTTGAACAACACTTCACCGAAATCCTCAAAAAATAGTACAACAAAAAATTCAGAATTGCACTGAGAGAAAATTTTTAAAGGATTTATAAGAAATTTGAGAAGTAATAATAATGCTGGGAAAAAATTAACGATTTCTTTTAAAATTACTATTAAAACTTTTATTAAATAAAATATAAATTTAATAAAATATAAAATACATTTAGTAAAAATGTAAGGGATTTAAATAGATTTTATAGATGTCGATGGTTTTTTAACATTTGTAATTATTTATATTTAAATCTTTTTTGTCCAGTACTTTTGAAAAAAATATAGCTGAGCTGGTTGCTCTCTTTTTCGACGTCAGATCTAAGCGTCGTCCTTCATTTATCCTTTCCCCACTGCGAGTGTGCTGCGACTGCAGGGGGATGGGGGCCAGGAACTCTCAATCAGCGCATGTTGGCGCCCACAAACTCACGTGCAAACACTTTACGACAGGCACTTTGGAAGGAGCAAGGGAAATCGAGGTGGAGTTACAGGAGCCGCACATCCAGGACACTCACATCCACATCCACATCCTCATACTCATCCCCATACAGAGGGAAGCTGCTCTCGTTTTGAAGTGCAATTTAGCACAGCCACAGATTTTGCTGCCCTTTCCGCCCTCCAGATGCTCTCCAAGTGTGCGGTAATTAATGCAATGGGGGCGAGGAGTGGGGAAAATGGGGTTGCGGGGGAAAAGTTACGCAAGGCTTGTGCTACCACTATATGAAAGGTGCTGGCCATGTCTGAGGTATTGACTAGGTTATGCAAGAGAAAGGAGAGGAGGATAACTGATACTTTAAGCTCGTACTTGGGGAGCCTAAAGCGCTGGGATTATTATTAATTAGTTCGCTTTAATGAGAGCGCTTTTGATTTATAAATGTAATTTATGATAGTTTTTAAAAGAATATACTAAGTTTCCACTCTTCATTTTCTAAGGTTTAATAACATATTTTTTATATTTATAATAATAAATATTATTTATCTTAATTGTCGAGTCGATGTCTTATTACATTTAAAACACAGTTATGATATTATAGTAAAGATATTAAATAAATATTATTTCATCAGATGTATTTAATTAAATAATTATTTCAAAAGCAATATACTAAAAAAAATCATTACGTTTTTTGTTTTTTAATATTATTTTATCTTAACCCAACTTTATGTATATTTTTTCTTACAACTTTAAGGGTCATTAACGGAGTGCAAGGTTCAATGCGCTCCATAAACCGTTCACCATTCACTTCACCCTCCCACCGTCAATTTTACTTAAAGAAACCGGAAGACGCCGGGACCAAACTGTCAGGAAAAAGGAAAAATTCTTTAAGGTTTCCTGGCCTGCCAAATGATATAAACAAACACACAATTTGCGCCACTTAGCAGCAAATGGACGAGGCCATTAATAATTCCATTTTTTCGTAAGGTCAACCACAAAAAAGTCAAGGGGCGGCGAAAAAACAAAGCCGAAAACCGCCCAGATAATAAGGAAATATGACTTGGGGCGGACCGCAAGATGCTGCGACCTCAAAAGGGGGTGGTTTCGTGGAGTTTTGGGAGGGGGCGGCTGGCTGGGACATACATACACTGGTAAACATGGCGAGACGGTCTTGTAAAACAAGCCAGCAACAAGAACAACACAAGAACACAACACAACACAAAACAATAAATTGAGCGGGGAGAAAGCCAAGGAGAAGTCGCTCTCATAAACAATGTAATAATAAGGCCAACATTGTGCGAGAACTTGGCTTCGACTTGAGCGCCAGAAAATGAAAATGGCTGTGGTCGGTGGTCCCCCTTCACTCGAATAAATCTTGCTTAAAGCCCGCGGATCCCTCTAATTGCCGGCCATTAGAAAAATGTTAATTGTCATTAAACGGGGATGTGCAGCCATTTCCCAGGGATAACCATTAAGCATTAGGGAGGGAAAGCATAAATAAACCCAATCGGAAGTGAGCCGGATATTGATGAAGCGTATAATAAAATTAACACCACTCCTCGGTGTCCCGTTTTCAGTCTATTTAGACAGAACATCCCATTCCAGCGGAACAATTCCAATTCGAATTCAATTAAGTTTATGGAAATTATTTTACCATTTTCATTTTACACCCGTTTTTTTTTTGCTGCTCACTCAGTGTGACAGGATAATAAGCTGGTTGAACTGTCATGAACATTTTTAATTAAATTCAATATCCAAGATCTTTGTCCGTTCGCTTTTTTGTTTGTCTTTCTATGATGACAAGGGGGAAAAAAGGGGAGATTGAAATATGAATGCAAATAATTGCATAGGTACTTGGTGCTGTAATGAGAGAAGATTGAACAAAAAGTTTTTACAAATTAAAATTTCTGATTAAGCGTTTGAACATTTAGTCGTATATCATTTCATACCATTTATTTCTCTGCATCGAAAAAAACTTACCCTTGGGGGATTTTTTTTATTTTGTAACTTACATTTGTTTTTCTCAAAACTCGTATTATGTATTTTCTAGCAAGCTCATTTTTTTTCGGAGGGCGGGTTTTTTAAATTCTTAAACGAAACATAAAAACATAATTTAAATCTCACCATTTTTGCCTGAAATACCGTGAACCCAGCAAAAAGCTTTTTTTAAGGTGTTCCAGCAATTGGTTAATAATATACATACATCAGGTTTGAATTAAATACGTCTAACCAGTTTTTATAGAAAAAATCGCAGTTATTTTATGTTTTTTGCCAAAGACCCTACCCCCTGAAGAAAGCAAAATATTAAAAGTTTTAAATACAATGTATTGAATATATTATTAAAAAAATCTACAATACGTTGCCTAAGTTGCAGCAGATATACATGCATAGTTTCATTTTAACAAGGCCTTTTAACGGATTGGATTAAGGTTGGTACCGAACAGAGTGTTGCATGCTAGCACGGCCACATTCAGACGTGCCCTCTTTTTAGAAGTCCCAGTAGCCTCGAACTCCTGCTTGTCCACCTTTGTTCCCATAGTAAACAGGGTGTTAGGAGGTTCTCCTGAAGATCCCAAGTACTTGAAAGATGATTTAGGGCGCATATAGGAGAGAAGCAAGGTTGGATGCATGGTTTTAAAGTCGATGGGCAATGTAGAGCGAACTATGCGCTTCTTTGGGAGGACAGCACTCTGTGGGGCATGCTCATCGACAGTATAAAGAGCTGCACAATCGATTCCGTCGCTCTCCCACTTCTCGAATAGTTTGTGAATGGCAAACGAAGCTAGCTGCGGCATAATTGAATCCCCATTTCCTTGAGCTTTCATTTTTTCAATGAAGAAATCGCGCAAAGCTTTCTCGCAGGCCGCTGCCTGGGCCGAGTTTTTTGAAACTCCCTGTCCTTCGTACATCCTGGAGTTTATTGTCATAACTGCCGAGAATAGGCCCTCGTGATTCCTTTTGATGGCCTTGCGGTTAATAAACAAACCCTCTAACTCGTTGACCAATTCAATAGCACCCTTGGGAACCAAGGAATTTATCAGAGTGTTCAGTTTTGTATGATCACCTGATTTTATCGAGTCCACATCGGAGGAGTCTGTCTGCTCCTCCTCTTCTTTTTCTTGATTAATGATGAGGCCGGGATCCCCGCTGCTTTGCATCAAATTTTCAAAGGATATGACGGTCGGCTCATCATTTTGATCTTGCTCGTCTTCGATGGCTTTCAAATCGCCAATGAGTGAGTCCTGTGGGTTCTGGACATTATTTTCATCATCAATCGCATTTGGATCTTGATCCATAATATCATCAGGAAATGGAGCAGAGCTTTTCTCAGTAGAATCCAGAGCTGGAATGAAAACCATAATTTCAACTTAAGAAGCAGAAAAAAAAAGTTTGTCATGCCACGCGGTTTTGCCGATAATCGCGAGTTCTTTATAGCAGGAATAGTTTGCACCAATCTCACCTGGACTCTGAGCACGAACCACAACGGGGTCGGTCTGGAACGCATTCATCACCTCATCATTTAGATTTTCTTCAATAAGATCTGAAATGGAACCATGAATTTCCACTTGAGAAACAGAAAAGGAAAAAGTTAGGCTCCTGTCACCCGGTTTTGCCGATAATCGCGAGATTATTATAACAGTAATAGTTTACACCAATCTCACCTGCAGTCTGAGCACAGATCATTACGGTGTCGTCCTGGAACTTATCCTTCCCCTCATCACTAACATTTTCATTAATAAGAGCTGGAATAGAATCATAATTTCAACTTGAGAAGCAGAAAAAATAAATGTCATGCCATGCGGTTTTGTCAATAATCGCGAGTTCTTTATAATAAGAATAGTTTACACCGATCTCACCTGGAGTCTGAGCGCGAACCACTGCGGTCTCGTCCTTGGACTCATCTTTTTCCTCACCGTCGTTGAAATTTTCTTTAATAAACATTTTTTCGCCACAAGCTCGTTTCATTTCTATAGACCTTTTTTTTTTCAAATGTCACTTTTTTAGTGAGACCGTTGCTTATTAAAAAAATTACGATGAGATTATCGATGCTTGAGATATTTCAGTTCATTCACACTTACACGATATGGAAATAAATGCACTATTCACAGTTTTAACGTATATTCATGGAAAGTTTATTCCAATTTAAGGATGTAACGGACATCCTATAAACAATAAGCTAAGGCTGGGTGTTACAGACGGGTCAGAGCGCACGCAAAAATGTCAATCGGCTTTGGCTCGTCGGCTAATGGGGTGGATCTTTGCTTTAACCCGTCATTGCCTCTTCGATTATTATCAAAACTCAGATTGCGTGCAAAGACAAACCAAACTAAGGCCGGGGAGAGAAAACACTACTATCACTCGGGCTATTGTCGGACGTAAGGCCCCCTACATCTGTGATCGAGCCTACCGCTTTCCCACCTCAGCTGTTAATGAGGCGGCATTCAGCCCACCCTTCCATTGGCCGTTCCCTTACCATTTTCCTTTTTTTTAGAACGGCCCCTTCGCGGTTATGGCTTCACGGGGGTCTCATGTCCGCCGAGGACAAACACACAAATTTACCACATTATAAACATCTTTTATTAACTAACAAATTAAAATACTAGACAAATCAATCTTGCTGAAAACCCTAACCGAGACTAACATGAAGTACAAGGAATAATATAAAAATAATATATAGGTATAAATATCATAAGAAAATGAATGGCGATAATATATAATAAATAGCATAAATATAATAATTATAATAGATAATTCTTATAAATAGAGAATGGCGCAATAAATAGATTTTAAAATATATACGTTAAAAAAAAAACGGCATGCCAATTAGGTTTGCATTTACTTTAAATTTAAAAGAAAAACAAAGATAAGTGCCTTTTCATGGTGTGATTTTTCAACTTTTAATTACGTTGTGTTACGTCGACATGTTACCGTTCCCACTTGCATATAAGATCACAACGAGAGAGCAAACGCAAAGCGATTTACGATATTGGCGTTTAGTGGGATTAAACTGAACAAACCTACGGTATTGGCACCCAATTTTGCGATTGTCTTTTCTTTCTTATTCTTGGGCCATTACGTAATGCCGGTTACACCGATGGGAAAATTTTAATTCGGCAAATTAAATTTAATGAATTCTTTTTTTTTTTTTTTTTTTTTTTTAGGTTTTACCACATTATGAAATTTAGAAAATTTGAAATTGCCGCCTATCACCAAAAAATTATATTTTTTATATTTTTTTTAACGCTCACCAATTTTTCCAGATGCATCCCCGAAGAAAGCGCTTTTTTCGAAGACGGCTGAAAATTCTGCGAAATGAGAAAAAGTTATTTTTTTGAGGGACACAGGGGCTTTCACTTTATCCTTTTCAAATTTCCTTTTTCACTTTTTTTTTCAGGGGGTAAGTGGCCATACAATTTTTTCCTTTAAACTTGGATTTTTTTTCCTTTACGAAAGAGGGAACACAATGCCGGAGTTTTGGCAGCACAAAAATACACTTTAAAATAATATAAAAAAAAGAATTTACTTAGGATTAATAACTAAAAAAACTATTATATTCTGACATCTTTCTTTTTTCAATTACTCTTATTACTTCTTTCTTCTTCACGGCAAAGGAAATTTGAGGTTAAATTGTGTTTTTCGGCTGGTTTTTCGCCATGGGTTTTCACCTCCTCTAAGGCCACATTTTTATAGGGTTTTCCACAATATTTTTCACCAGCTTTAAACGGAGTCGGGGACTGGGTAAATTTAAACCCTCACGCTGGACATTTGGTAACTTTTTCGCACTTTCCCTCCCGCGATTGTCCCGTGGTTCCGCGCCGAGCGTACGTTTCGTAGTAACTGGTCGCCCTCTCTGATGATGATTTAACTCCAATGAGAACTTCTGGCTCAGCTGCTTGCCGTTTTAAGTGTTCCCGCCGGTTGAATATCGTATTCTGGTCTTTGATCGCCGAGCCTATAAATCAACCAAAGCGCTGCTGATCGGACCCGTTGATTTTCTTTTATTTGTTTTAAACTCACCCCCAATAATAGGACTCGGCCAAAATTATTAAATTTGGTTGCCTTTTCCCTTTGACAATCTTCCAGATAGGTTAGATCAATAGTCGAAACACTGACTTTGCCGATTCACCTCTTGATCGGTGGAAGGTTCAAATAGAAAAGAACGCTGATGCCGCTTGCCGCTGGCGGCAAGCCCCTTAACAGCCAAAATGGCAAACGCTCTCAGCAGATCTCAACTGACATTTCGCCCTGTTGACCTATTGCGCTTTCTCTTACCCCTAACCCCAGTTCGGCAACCACCCCACAGATGACGCCAGCAACGATCCGTTCCCACTTGACTACCAGCGCTACAAGGATGATAAAGAGACAAAACTTAAGAACTAATCTTACAATTTAAAAGGATACAAATTTTATAAAACAACACTTATTAATATTATTAAATTAGGCAAGTAACTATAATTTTTATACCCGTTACTCGTAGAGTAAAAGGGTATATTAGATTCGTGCAAAAGTATGTAACAGCTAGAAGGAAGCGTTTCCGACCCCATAAAGTATATATATTCTTGATCAGGGTCACTAGCCGAGTCGATCTAGCCATGTCCGTCTGTCCGTCTGTCTGTCTGTCTGTCTGTCTGTCTGTCTGTCTGTCTGTCTGTCCGTCTGTATGAACGCTGAGATCTCAGAAACTACAAAAGCTAGAAGGTTGAGATTTCCCACACATATTCTTTGGCTTCCTACGCAGCGCAAGTTTATTTTAGCCGAGCGCCACGCCCCCTCTAACGCCCACAATCGCCCACTAATGATTTTAAAATGGGTCCTGCGCCCACATCTTTAAAGATTTCCGAGAAGTATAAATGCAATTTTGTTGTGTATATTTATACCTATCAAATGTAGATTTTTCAAATCGGACCATTCATTAAAAAGTTATACGCAATCAAAAATTATATATCTATCTCCCTCGCACTCCCTTTAGCTGAGTTACGATTATTAGTCGGGACACCAACCCGACACAGCGTTCGCACTCCCTTTAGCTGAGTGACGGGTATTAGATAGTCGGGACAACAACCCGACTATAGCGTTCTCTCTTGTTTTAAATATAGACGTAATATATTTGGCTTTCCAAAACGCCATTCGATGTTAAAGCTAGTTATTTGAACTAGTTTTCAAACCCGGTATTCAAAAACACTTTCACCAACCTAAGCCCAATTTGCTCGGCTTTTATTTCTAACGTTTCTATTACTCGCGGCGTTTTTTTACACCTGAAATGGTCGAACAGATCAATAGAGCACAACTCTTTCCCTTTCGCAGGACCCCTCCATCGTTTATCATTGAACCACTCGATGAACTCACAATTCACACCGCTCGTTGACGAGGGGATATACCGCGGGGGTATAAAATAGTTGGCGTGGCCATAATTGCTAAGCGTCTATAAAGTTGCCCTTGGTGTATTATGGGCCACAACAAGTTGGGCTGCACTTTTGGTTCGTGCACTTGCCAAAGGCCAAAAAGTCAGCAACGTGTTGGGTCTACCACAAAAACAAGGGCCTGGGCCCAAAAAACACGGGGCGAAATTCAACTAAAATAGAAGCGTTAAAATATTGCCAACATTTCCGCGCTTTTAAAAAGAGCAGAAAAAAACGAAAATAGGGTGGAAAAGTTAGGAGGGCTGCCTTTGGACCAAGAGCAGCTGATCCTGGCCAAAGCTTTTACATTGGTGACTTGGAGCGGAAATTATGTAAATTTAAGTGTTGGCCTACTCCTCCTCCCCATTTTTGAGCAATGAAAACATGAAAGCAAAAATTCCACACAGCGAAAAAAAACGAAACGCTGAAAAGATGCCAACAAATAACCAATAAAAAGCAACAAGCAACGAGCCAGTTGGGGGCGAAAGGAAAACAGCATAAAGTTGTGCTTGGGAAATTTCCCACATTTGGTTTGGAGTTGAGTTTTCCCTTGTTTTTCCAGCTCCTGTTGCCTGGGCCTGGGCAACAAAGTTTTCGTAATTGTTTTTGCATTTTGCGGCGCACACATTCGATGGGCGGAGTGGAAAAGCGGGGCCCAAATGTGTCCTTTGGTGTATTAAAAAGTTTCCCATTTCTTTCTTTTTTTTTTTTTGCTGTTTAGAGGGCGACGAGCTGGCCAAACATTTGCTGCCGCTTGGGTCGTGGTCCATTGCCCATTAACATTTTATATGCAATTATGATTATTTTACCATTGTGCATTTGGGGTAATCTTTGGGGAGCAAACGTTGAAAGTTGAGTTGGCCGGGCAAACGGAGAATTTAATGGGCTTCAAACGGAAACAGACTCGACTGGGCTGCAAAAAGGGAAGGTGGAGGTGCCCCAAAAGATGTAGAGAAACCCAATCGATAAATGTTTGAGTGGGTGGGCAGCCACATGTTGCACAATGCTAATTGAAACGGTGGGGATTTAATTGCATTATGCCATAATTAAATCAGAGCCATGTATCGTTTCAGCCCCAGCCATTGGATTATGTTATTTGAATCTATAAATACATTTAAAATAAATTTAAATGTAATTCTAAATTTAAAAAATTTTTGTAATTTATTAATTTACTAATTTTGTTACCCAAGAGGTAAATGAATTTCCATTTTTATTATGACAATTTTAGGTTAGTTTTCGTTACCTGAATCCTTGCATAGATTAGTAGTTTTCTAACCTTAAATATTTATTTATATTTTTCATACACAAAGGAAATTTACAAATTCTAATTTAGATGAAAAACAACTTCATTTGTCCACACAAACTAATTTAAGACTTGTTTAATATGATTTTAGCTCGAACAATGCTTCAGCACATTTCATTTTCAATCATCATTGGGTAGGTTCCCTTCATCACCCTTGCAAAACATGGTCCGAAACTTTCTCTTTGCCCCTTTCTCTGTCGCAATCCTCTCCTGGCCGACTTACATATGCAGAAGCCCAACAAAGCCCGTCCTGTA